TTCGGCGAACAGGTCATGACAGTAATTCTCAGCTCGCTCACAATACAAGACTCACAGCAGCCGATGTGCATTTGTGCACAAAGGAGGTGACATTTTCTCCCGTTTGATTCCTTGTTGGTTCAATCGTCAACAGGATTAAACAAATTTATACAAAAGTTAGGTTATTATTGATTTGTTGATGTGCAGAAGCACATTCCTCGTGGTTGCTAACATCTGTTGACATCTACTGGTGTTTGGCAACGTACAAGGGGATACTCACCATCTTGCCCTATGTTCTGAAACCTGCCTCACATTTTGTTTCCTCAATTCTTTCTTTTCACCTTGCTCATTTTTTGGAGACACTCCTCTTCCTCCCAAACTGTCAGCCCTCGCCACCCTGTGAAGGACGGCGAGAGCTCCAAGCCTAGGTGTGTTTAGCTGAAGCTGCGTTCAGAAGCAGCTCTGACTGCGGAGCGTGTCAAGGACTGGAGGTAATTACCTCTATTCAGTGGCTGCGACTCACGACACCGCCTGAGAGGATCGGAGAGATTTCCACCTCATCTCGATGCTGCTGAAGAATATGCAAATCACATCTTCTGCCCCAACACGGCATTCTCTTGTTAGAATTACTGCGAATGTGCATGTGGGTGTTTTTTTCCCCGATACGACTGCACAAAATCTGCAGGTTTAGACTTAAATTCAGGCAGCTTTCATATTTCACATCGAACCGATTCAATATAACAATACATTCTTAGATAAAGTAAAATAAATGTGAATATAACACACACTGTGATGTCACTCCGACAGGTGTGAGGGCAACAGCGGAACGTACAGAGACCGGGGGGAGAGAGAAAGAGTCAAGTAGACGAAAAGTACGAGAGATTGTGTGTGTGTGTGTGTGTGTGTGTGTGTGTGTGTGTGTGTGTGTGTGTGTCCATGTCGATCAAATGATGACGTCATACTCATTCAGTTACTTCATCAACTTTATATAAAAATGGATGATCAGAGCTTTTAAGCAGGATTCAAAAAGGGACGGGTTCCTTTACCAGAGCCAAGAAAATTAATACAAATGCAAAAATGGCAGTAAACATGGATCAAACTGACACATTTGTTCAGGTTATTGAACATCGACTCAAGAGAGATGCTTAAATCAGCACATTTCTTCCACCATCATGAAATAAATTTAGGTGCTACACAACCGCAGCTTCCACATTGACTGAAAAAGACATGAGGGAGGCAAACACATCCCTCAAAAACACACACTGCCTCCACCCACAGAGAAACGAATACAGTGTCCAGGGGCCAGATCCAAACACACAATGTCAGGGTTTGTAATTGGTCCTTAAACCCACTCAATCCTTCCATATCCATGCATGACAAACTGAAACTAATGGATGAAGCTGAAGAAAGACACAAAAAAATAGCATCAACATAATAACTGAGACGTCTTTACGTTTCTGTGCAAGATCCAAACGACCCACTGCTGCTTTGTTGGAACAGAATTCTGCTTAATATTTTTGTTAGTTTGTGATTAAGCAAAAACTACAGACACAGTTTTCAGGAGATTTTGTGGTGAGGTGGGGCCGACAGGAAGGATCCATTAAATGTTAGTGTGGAGCCGAGAGGTTTCTGACAGAATGAATTCAACCTGTTGGAATCGAGGGGATGCACGAGCACTTTCATACACAACAGGTTGTGATTGACAGGTTTTAAAGAGTTAAACATAAGTTCTTGTGAGAGAGAGAACTGCATCGACACCACTTGCAGAAACTGAAACTATGAGGTCTGACCGTCCACTTTAACGGAAATATGCAAGTGGTAATGTGGCAAATTCAGTTATACAATGCAAATTGTATAGGTGTTCTTTGCTTATACATCTTTCTTCTGAAAAAGATTGTAATGACTTCTTTCTTTACTCATGTTCCATAGTTCCACCAAAATTTGTGGAAATCAGTTTGTTTTCAGCTGCATTACTCAGAAACTAAGCACTGAATTACAACATGTGAGTAACATGGAGTGACCGACAAATATGTCCGACACTGAATACTGTTCTGCACCATGTTTTACCAAACATGATACCAGAATCACTTTCTTTGACATATGTATCGATAGTTCTTCACATTCCAAACACAGGAAGTGACTCTAAATGTAGCTCATGCTTGCACATTGGACCACATGATGTTAAAGAGAGTGCAGAAAGCACATCACACTAATGGTATAAACAGAGATAGAGACAAACACAATCCCAAAAAATCTGAGCTCTCATAAGACATTACTCATAATCAACCAACCCACGGGTTTGAGAAGCTTTCAGCTGATTTCTTCTCAGTGTTTTGTTGTGCTGATCTGATCCTCTGAAAGAAAACAGCTTTCTATAGGACACAAGTTCCAACAACCCAATGAAACGCTGCCGGCGCAGCAGGAGACGACGGGGGGTCGGAGTAAGCAGCCTGCAAACTAAAAGACAGCAACACCGTTTTTCTGCCTCCCTCTAAAACACATACAAACAAGACTTTCAACAGGTGGTAGGAAGGTGGACGGATATCTGATATAGATGTAAGAGATGAGAAGTTTGCAAAGTTCAACAGACTGTTTATAAAGATGGACAACGTGACAGCACTTTAAAGTGAAGTCAGAGCGTCTTCATTGCCCCCTGGTGGCTGACTGAAGTATAGGCCATAAGTACAAACCCTGTCTATGTTAGCAAAGGGGACAATGTCCAAACTAAAAAGTCGAAGTCTTCGTCAAATAGGCACCTTGGCCTTTCCCCGTCAGTTTGGTAAGAATTAGTCATTTGATGCAAAGAAAAACAGGGTTAAACATTATGACTGAAAACTGAGACTGACTCGTGGTTATGATCATCAACAACTAATCAATTATGATATATTTCTGCCAATCACACAATCTGTTCACTATCCACTATTCCTTATAGCAGCGTAGAAAGCTAAAATTCAAACTGCAGAAAATGAAACCCAGGGCAAACACAGCCACCCTGGCACATGCATTTAGACAACCATGAATCATTTCAATAGTCACTGGTTACCTTGGCAGTTTGACTGTGCACAGACTTTGCAAAAACATGCAACAACACAACTCGACTCAACTCGGAAAGCAAAGTTACAAAAGTCGATAAAATCAGGAGTGCATCTGGAGAGAAGCTTCTCTGTGTTATCGTGTGGGAGGAGAGTTTCACATCCACAACTCAATTCAAGAAAAGTGGCGAGCAGCTGCTGTGGCGGCACAAACTGCTTCTAATGCATCCCATCTAAAAGAGAGTATCTTGTTCTCCAGATGCCCCTTTGTGCACCAAGTGTATTGTTCCAGTGCATATAAGGGGTGTGTGCTTGTGATTGTGAGCATGAGTTACATAAGCAGACTGAAACTTTTAAAACAGATTTCATCTATTTTAAAAAGAGGAAAGGCTTCAAATTAAAACACGGGGGAAGGAGAGTTGGTTTTTGGAGTCCTGACACCCACGCTGATGTTTAACTTGCACCCACAGTGATTTGCATTGACTGTTAAATTTCTGGTCTATAATCTGGCTGCGCTCCAGGCCCGTCTCACATGCTCCTTCAGCTGCAGCCTCTCGTGGGCGAGCAGGAGAGTTTGTGAGCAGCTGTAAATGATACGGCTGCAAGCCTCTGATCATCATATCAGTCGACATGACAACACACTGTACCTGCACCTTTGATCCAGGCAGGTTAATTCCCCGCAGGTCTGATCCATATATATTGCATAACCCTCAGTAAGTGCATGGTAATATAAGTCCAGTGCAAAAGTGTTTCAGGTATAAGGGAATACATTTTAAACTTGGTCGTTGGTAAACTGTCAGTCACTGAACATCATGGAACAAACTGCAGCTGTCTGTAATGTTGAGCAGCATTTTTGTGTGTGTGTGTGTGTGTGTATATACTCATTGTTGTTGCCTATTTAGGACCTTTACCAGCATAAATACTGAGCTGGACAGGACCAGTCCTAATGAGGCTAAACCTTGTTTCTGAGGTGCTGGTTAAGATTCGGGGAAAGATATGAATTGTGGTTACGTACGTATGATATATTTAACCTGTGCATGTGACAATTTTTAAAGGGAAAATATCAGCTGAATGTAATATCATGAGAATTTCACAACTTCCTTCATCAAAAAACTAATTTGTAAAAAGATGCTAATCTCTTCTCTACCCACAGAGACCCAAACAGTTTCTGGGTGTTTTATTTGGCTCCAGCTATATTTGTGCTCATTTTGAATGCAATATAAATTCCTGCACCTCTATGGAAACAACACAACTATGACTAGACGTTTGTAAAAGTAGGCGTTGTCAGGTACTTTGGTAAATACAATGGAGATTCAAATTCAAACGAGCAGCTTAGCCAGAGACAAACAGGTGCAGCAGAGCGACAAACTGCACATCCATATAAAAGACGGCAAATTGATTAACTGACATAAAAGCTATAAAGGCAGCAATGAAACACAATGAGCTGCTGCGTTAAAACCCACAACACATCACAATAATCCAACACTTTTCCATCTGATTCACAGGATCCAGAGCAGCCTCCTGCTTCACATGTGACGGATCTGTTTATCGACATATAACTGATCGGAACAGAACAACCAGAGAGGACGCAGGCGGAAGTCCAGAATCACATGGATGGAAAATATCTAATTTATGACTGATCGATATGAAGCGTGAAATTGGAGTTTTCTACACGTGGAGGTCAAACGACTCCAGCGCATGACACGCATAGACTGTGCCGTTTGCTTTTACGCGTTTAACATCAAGAGGAAAAGCAAACTTTGGCAATTTACGCACAAGATTACGCACCTAATATTCTACAGTGACATTCATTAGGGACTTCCAATGTGACTTTAAACGCACATGTGCCCACCACGAAACTCCAAATTACAGGGATACTAAGGTTGATTTTGCATTATGAGGAAGGTTACACTTCCTCCACAGAGGTCAAGATTACACTGGAGTCAGTGGCTCCAGTGTAATGGCTAGAATAAAAACAGATTAACTCACCATTTCTCTGTGGAGACGCCGGCTCCTGAAAGCATGTCACGACTCTAAATCCCCCATGAGCCCAAAAATTTTTGAATCACACTGTGATTAAGTCCGAGCTTAACGCGACACTAATTACTGAAGATAAAAAAAAGAAGTGTTGAGGCTGGAGGTGGCGGTGGAGTCCTCAGAGGAGTGGACCGATGCAGACACGAGCTGGAGCACGGAGAGCTGTCCGTGCGCAAAAGGCAGCGCGGAGCGGCGCGTGGACACATGCACCGGGGGAGAGTCCGTAAAAAGAGAGGGAGGGAGGGAGGGAGGGAGAGATCCTGGAGTGGGTGAGAGGAGGAGAAACCTCGTGGAGGAGCCCGCGGGGAGTTCGTGGAGAGGTGAGGAGTCCCGGCGGATATTTGGAGAGACGGTGCCGGAGATGTGGCTCAGTGTGAACTCACAGCAGAACTCACAGCAGACATTGACCCGCTCTCTGCTCTGTAGTCCCTCCTCTCAGTGAAGGCATCATCCATCTCCCCCCCCCCCCCCCCCCCCCCCCCCCCCCTTCTCTCTCCCTAGTGACGGTCATTCCACATCTTTTGAATGGATGATTCACTTGTCTGCGCTTCTCCTGTGCGCGCTCACCTGACAGCAGAGGTGTGATGTAGAGGTCTCAGGAGGGTCAGAGAGTCACGCACAAGTTTTTGCTCCTTTAAGAGTTTGAACTTTTGTTTTGACCTTAAACGTCACATTGATTATCGCTGACACATCAGTGCAGTTCTTCATCTTACAGATGAAATGCCTGTGATGTTGCAGTTTGATTAACGGCATCTCTTCAGCCAATATTATTGTTATATGTTTGTATATTTTCTATTTATTGTACTTTTAATTATTTGTGTTGTTCTTTCAAAGAAGGTGAAAAATGTCCTGGGTCTGCCCCCTGATCCAGATCCTCACCACAATGGAATGAGTCCCTCCCTGAGCCAAACCACATCCTCACGCCAAGTTTCATATTAATCCATCCTGTAGTTTTTGTCTAATCTTACTTACAACCCATCCAACAAACAACCAGACAAGGGTGAAAAGATTGACACCATGTGTGTGTTCATTTTTAAGTCATGATCTTTCCTTGACCTTCAAAGTCGAAGTGTTGCTGAACATATATAATCAACATGTGTCAGGAATCTTCAGAACCCAGCGTCCATCTTGTTTTCTGTATGCACATCATCCACCTCAATCACTTCCACTGTTTAAATGTAGGATGAGAAAACATCCGCTCCGAATATAATCAAGTCTGAACTGTGGTATATTCAGTAAAACATCTCATGATTGTCACGTGTTATAGGACAAGAGGTTGCTCTTGTGCTTCCTAAAGAAGAATCAACATCTGACTATAGACTAGTTTTCTTTTGGTAATTGTTTAAATGGTCCCTGATCTGCTCCTGCAGGTTTCATTGTTTGTTTAATCGTGTTACACTTGAAAACCTTTTGAGTTAAATGAGACTCTCACCTCCGCATGAAGTGAAAACCACATATTTCAAAAACCATCATTTGCCCTCATCACACTTCACCTCCTACAGAGATCCTTGTGAAATTGAGTCAAAATAAATATCTACTTTTTCTGCACACAAAAAATTATAATTGCACTTTCATTAAATTCTCTGAGCGTTTGTGAGCTGAACAGGATGTTTACTCCAACTCATCATCAGAAATAACTCCACCTCTCCCTCTCCTCTCTGTCCGTCTGTCTGTCCCCTGGCATCCCTCCATTCTTTCATCTTTTGCTCACGTCTATATTTGAACTGAAGCATTTTCTTCCAGGTATTTCATATCCAGAGCAGTAATCAAACATGTCACTCGAAGTTGAAATGTAGCTTAGACTGCCTCAAACAATCCGGTGCCATTCGTTTTTCTCCAGCTTTAGCCAGTGATGTCTGAGACCTTTAATTCGGCTTAAGGAAGAATAATCACGCACAGTTGCCAGTGTCATGCTGGAATTAGGGTTTCTTAACATTCATGCAAAAAGTCACAGATTTGAATGATGTCTTGCTGCCGGAGGCCACAACCGAAGCCACGTCACACATCATTCTCTCATGGGAAAATCCGACCAGTGGATTGTGAGATATTGAGTGTGACAAACGTGTTTCTGCCTTCAGCCCCAAATTGTAATTTTAAGAGTGACAAAACAGACCAGGGACACAAAACATTCCCTGAAGTTCTGTCAGAATTCGATCAGTGGTGTCCGGGGCATGACGGCTGGACAGATGGCCTGAGGCTGATCCTTTGTCCTGCCCACGATGTATTCGTCAGAGAAAGCAAAGCAGTGAGGAGAACGAGCAACAGAGCGATGAAAAGGCTACAAACCTCCTCTCACTTTGACTCACACTCTGGTTTAGTTGCCAAATATGTCCACATATGAGGAGTTCTACTTGGTATTTGTTTTTAGTCTGCACAGGGGGGATTGACATAAGGAGCAGAAAGGAGCAAAGAGGGAAAAGTAAGGTGTCTATGCTTATGCAGTGAATATTAGTTCGAGGAGTGGGTTGATATATATAATATATAAAAGAAATGCACCATATCTGCATTAAATGATATTAGAAATGAATATTCAACAACCCTAAACAACAACAACAATTTTTGGAAAAAGTGAGAAAGTTAGAAACATATAATTTGATTTACAACAAGAAGCTTCTCACTGTTTTCACGAGTTACACTTGCAGATATTATTTTGATAAATGCATCGACAGCCTCTCTACTTAATCTCTTTGCACTTCTGCAATGACAATGAAATAATTCTGTTCAGACAATTAAACATAAATAGCAAACAATGATAAATGGGGTAAACAGAGGTAGTATATCCACTTGGTCACTTTGAAAAGTGAATGAAACAAACTATGAGACTCAGTGGAATGAAAAAGCTTACGACACTTCAACGTCCAGGTTCAGTGTAACAATAAAGCAAATCTACCCTGAATCTCTGTCTCCGTTTCTCATGGTCCATGTCAGACGGATCGTTTCTGTGTAACTCATTCTAATCGTCCTAATCAGCCATGAACAAGGTTCTCAAAAAGCATAAAGAACCAATCAGTGATTCTTTTTCAGTGAGTTAATTTGATAAATCAGTCGAGAGGAGACTTCGTGAGAGCAGACTGACTCCACTGTAAGTTGATTTGAACTCCACTATAAGAGGATTCACTCCTACAGTTAAAAATAGCTTTGTAGATTTGGTTTGCTAATATTTGTATTTGCAAACTCAGCCTCTTTTGAATCAGATTATATTTCTTGATAACATTACTTTGCAATGTCATCAACTTAGAAACAGCTGTACAGCACAGATGCCAGTAAACGATTTAGAAAAGAGGTCATGGAAGTCAGCGTCACGAGGGAACAGTTCATATTTAACTGGCTGAATATATTAACCACATGCTCCTTTTCAAACATACTATGATTTCCATTAACGCCACATTTTGAATGGGGGAAATTCTTTCATCATATGCTTCTGTACATCATGACTTGCATGTGCAAAAAAATGTTTGTGTTAAGTTCAACACAGGATTTATTGGTGGGTTTGTTTGTTTTTTGGCAGCCGTGACGGTCAGTCCCACACAAATCATGAAACAAAGGAAGAGTTGGGTTAGTTTCCCACACACATGCCAACTGTCTTATGGTTTATGATATCATAAATGCTCCTGATGTTTAAAAATAACTTGCCTTCATCCTGGTTCTTTTTTCGTCTTCTTCTTCTGGTGGATTTCTGCCTCGTGGTCAGTTCTGCACCAGCATTTCTTGCTTCCATTGTCAGATATAAGCTTGTTTCACAGAAATAGTCCTGTAGATTATTCTCCGGTCGTCCATGTTGAGTGGAGTCAACATAAGTTTCCCAGACTTCTTTAAATGGTTGCCGTTTATCTGCTGTCTGTGTTTGGTGCTTTTGACTCATGGAGAGTGACTTTATGGAGTTTTACCACGTGAGGCTTCACAAATAAACTTGAGCAGACTGTAGATTTCTCGATGTGAATACATATTTCTGTCACTTTGCTTCTTTTTACTGTTTCCTGCCACAACAGTGTTTCACCTTCACTCCTGTAGACGGAGGCCTGGTCGGATTCTTCCTCTTACATCACAGTCACAGATCTTCCACTGAAGAAACAAACAATCCAACAAACTTACAGTTGTTGGTCTGACTCCGGTTTTTGCTCCTTCCCTATAGAATCCGGAGCAGGATATCAGCTGTATTTATACAGCACTTCCTGGTTCAAACCAAGTTCAAATGTGGTGGGAAGATTTCTATGTAACTTTTTAAAAAGAGAACTGTTTCCCAAACCCATCAGTCTTAGTTTCATTCATCTCGACATGTGCTGGTTGATTTGTGGACACAAGTTGTATGGTGTAATGTATTACACAGTTGTAAATAAACTTGGCCAAATTGTCTTGTGAGTGTTTTTTGTTGAGTCACTCCACCAATGGTTCAGTCCGCACAGGGAGGCCTCACCTGGTGCTCAGGGGTTTGAAGAACCAGGAAGTGGATTACATGAGAATCTTGAACACGAGAACTGTCAAGACACAATGTGTCTCAAGTCAGCACAACAAGGTACGAGAGTCATGTAGCTATGTTATGCTCATGTGTTAGCTTCGAGGATTTAAATGCTTCAGCTGCCAACTAGGAATAGGTTGTCAAAGTTAGCAAGAAAGGTGCTAATTAGCCATTGTTATGAGGTTTAATTGCTGATAAGTGTTAGCTAATGTCCGTTTGTATGGAAGATTAAATACTAACATTTTACTTTGTAATGGCAGGTTTAGCATGGATATGGCTGTGATTGATTTCATAAAAGTTTGCCGGTTATGCGACAGTATTAGCACGGGAGATGAACTGCTCTTGTTTTAGGTGTGTATGTTTGAGTGTTAGCCTGTAAAGTGCTATTTAATCACATGCAACTTCAAGCTTGTGAAAGGTTAGCACTGTAATTAAAGAGTTCAGTGTAAGCATGAAACTGCTAATGCTATGCCATCGTTAGCCTATAGTGCTATATCTAGTTATACTGAAGTCTGAGCTAATGAATTGTTAGAGGTATGATAAATGTCTACATGTTAGCTTGTTATGCTAACACTGTATTCTGATATATAGAGCTAAAGTGTTAGCAATATAGACTATAAAGATGGATGACACGACAGCTCCCCAAAAGTGAAGCCAATTGCCCCCTGGTGGCTGGCTGCAGTATAAATCATAAAACTCAGCTGGATTCTGAGTCTGTCTTACTTCCTCAAAGTT